CAATAGGAGAATTAGTGAAGAACAGCACTTTCCTTTCCCGCAAATACCGATTTATTATCTTACTTCATCTCTGAAACCCTGCAATAAATTCGCGTAATATTCGCCGACCATGATCATTTCGAGCACATTTCATATATATTTTAAAAAACCTAACGCCATGATCTTGACAAAGCAAACGGAAATATCTTCGTCTTCTCTACATCTGATTTTACTCTTTTCGTTTATTGCTTTAAGTTTTTCTTCTTCGTGTTAGGTAAAGTAATGGACCCATCTTTAATCGATGGCTAATGACCGAACGCTAATTTTAAATATCCGCGCGACTCTGCTTTTATACCATTGTGACCAAATGATAGGGACATTGGGCAAGAACTAAGATAGTTGACAAGCATTATTATACCGAGCTAGCACTAATGAAACGCAATATAGCTCTTGTGTTATAGGTAAAGAGCATACACATTTCATAAAGAGAAACTTGGTAACACAAACAAGTGAAGATATTATATTGGACAGGGCCCACCATTAAATATCCTACAACATCCTACAACATCCTACATCTATAGACTTTTCAAGACAAGGAGTTATATGGCAAGTGATTGATGGCAAGTCAGTCCGATGCGAACCATATTAAATACCATTCGTCCTTGGGGCAAATCACGTCGGTGTACCAAATATCATCGCAAAAAATTGCAATCTTTAAAATAGATGCAAGAAAACAATGCTGATCGGTATAAGGGAAGGTGGGTCTAGCTCAAGTTTTTCTGGATGATACATACAAACCGCAGAAAATTAACACTAACCGTTGTACTAGGAGGTGAGATAGAGTTAAATTAACTCACATACTTTTTTAAAGTTTCATATTCCTATACGAATTCGGATAACCGTTTTTAGCTTAAAAATATGTATGATCTGGCTACACGCAGGTCTACAGAATACAGAAGAAAATGTGATAAACTCAAAAAAACATTGGCAATTCCAATTACAGTTCACAAGTTTCCATCCCGAGAAGATATATATGCGCAAACAACTAACAAAGACCATTTTTGAGCCGAAGGGCATCTATGCAGCCATCATTTCTTATCTTTGGGTTCCTGATCGATCAAGCAATATTTTAACGTCCTATCTTAATTTTTGCAATCGTGACAATTCCCATGAAATTATGCGTGAAATTGATACATTTTGATAGAAATCAGGTAGAAAAAAAAAAAAAACAATTTGTAAGCCTTTAAAGGTCTTTTTATGTAAATAAAATATGCAACTTTATATGTCTTATAACCGTTTATAGCAGATCAAAAGTTAAAAAAGCAGTTAAAAGCCAGCACTAATACTCTAGCGTTCAATCTTTTAACAATATTTCGATTTATTCTTATGGAGAGGTGTGCGCTATTAAAAAAAAATGATAATAAAATGTTAGTATTGTATAATATTGGATAGACGTGACCAGATTTAAGTAAACTTAAGCAGAAAGATTTTCAATCTTGAAATCATCAAATGCATTGCTTATTATTCATTTTAAATTTATAGCGACTGCCATTATTTATTTTTAACAATATTTCTTTTTTGTTCTTATTCTTATATCTAGCTTTACAACTATGATTATGTTAATAAATTGATTAAGGTAAATATTTGCTTTTGCCATTTTGAACTCTTTTTGGTTGTTCTGAAAATTGCATGATAATAATTGTGCTCCCTATTGACAATTTCACTTTATATTCAAAGTGAAGCGTTTTTATGTCCTACACGACATGCGGCACAGAGTGTACTCACTTCGTGCAGATGTATGTAGCACGCAAGTTAGACCGTTTGTTTATATTGCCCGATTTGGAATCATTTTTGAATCGATTTAAGCTTATCTGTCTGCTCGTCTATCAGATGCTCGTAAACATATTTTTATATTCAGCGCACAAGTCGCACGACGAAATTGGATCCATTGACGAACGCCGTTGAAAATAGATTGGTTGAAAATATTTTTGCGACCATTGCTTATATAACGTGTTATATATTTAATAGCCTTTATATGAAAAGAAAATGCATATTTAGAAAATTTTTGAACAAAAATCGCATGCTACATTGATATAAAACATTTATATCGCATGGATCAATTTTTTTATAAATTCTCGCATGTTCGAACGAAATCTAATTTCTAATAACTTATGCTGGACATTGGCGCATTATAACAAGTTATTGAACATGACCAAGTAGGTCTAGAGTTTTGAACCCACACCATATAAGCCTTTGTAGGGCAACCAAATATAATTTTCAGGATTTTATAAGCAAAACAGATGAAGGATAAGAAAATCTTTGACATGAAAATGTATTTTTTTTCAAATTCAAATCATTTCGGTTCATGAATTGGATAAAGGGCATAAGAGAGCACTCATAAATAAAAAAATTTCTTTATATCAAAATAAAATATAATATTTGAAAATAAATTAACAATTGTATTAGGCGAAGCAGTGTAGGTTATCTAAGGGTGGGTCTTGCCCGACTATAATACTTTTTCTTGCTTAATCTTATCTTAGAAAATATTTTTCAAGCGTCTTAAGCAGAGAAGATTTATTTTAATAATTTTTAGCGAAAGACCAAATTTATATTACATTCAGTTTTTGCATTTCGAGAACAAAGGCATATATTCTTAGTTAACACATGATTTAACTGCATCTGGTTGTCCATCGAATTGTTGAAATTATGATCCTTGATAACTTTATATAAAATAAAAAAATTATATTCAAATCATTAGAAACTCTCTTCTTTACTGCCGATCAATATTGATTGCTCGTTTCTCGTTTTATCTCTCTCTATATCCTACGACACTTGTGATATAAAGCATATCAAGCCCAAATGTTCAATACTCAGAAGGACTTGAAATAAACCCACCAATCGATTCAGAGCAATTTTCCAAATTCTAACGACCGACGCTATTGGAAATGGTTCGGATAGGATCAATTTTTCGACCACTCCGCGTTATTTTGAACAATGTCCAAAGAACAGACGACGAATAAACTAATAAATAATACGTTTTAAAATTAAACACTTATCAAGAATCAAGTCTATGGTACAATTTTTTTTTGGACCTGGCAACTGGAATAACAATTTAGTTGGATTCTTAATACTAACTAACCGATCGAGACAAAAGAAAGTCAAATCGTCTCGTAGATATTATGAAAATGTTAAAATAATTTTGTTTGACTTATATTAATCGTCGTTTGTCCCACATTAGGTCCCTAAATTCTGTATGTTAATGATTAAAATTATAAATGCAAGACTTACGAAGAAACACGTTCTAAACAAAATGCAGTTGGATTTTTTGTTTTCTTTTTTTTTAATTCTTGATGACTTTTTATATAAGTGATATGGATGTGAAGAACATGCAATTTTAATGTGACAAAGCAAATATATCGTACTGCACGTAAGAAGAACAAGTAAGAATATTATATTCGGTCGGACCCGAATCTTTTATACCCATTACCGTTATTCAAAAGAAGAGTAAAAAACAAAGGAAACGAACTAAATTTTCATACTCTGCATGATTGGGTGGGGACCGTTAACTTTTTCCATTTTTAAAAGTGTAGATTTATATGGTGTAAGTGTTGTGATCTACGATCAACGAGCAAGCTAAAGAAGGCAAAGCTGCTCTCAGTTTTCTTTGCATAAGCATGTGAACGCTGTAGACGAGTCTTCTGATCAGTTTGGGTCATTTTCAAATTCGTTTGCAAATTTGTAGGCGACATCCTTACTTTGGCGGATAAGAGAATATGCGCCGCAGATACTACAAAATTTGGAAGACGGACAGACGGACATAAGGACAAAAATGGCCAAGAATTGATATTGAACTTTATGGAGTTGTTGAAACTTGCCTCTGCGCTTTATAAAGGAATTGAAAAAGAAAAATTAAATTAAAAATTAAAGCGTGGTCAGTTTTTTTTGATTTTTATAGAGATCCTGCAGCATAGAATATAGGTTGAAATTTTTGCTAATTTATATGATGCACCTTACAAGCAAAAAATCAATTTTTTATTCCTTTTAAAAAACAGAGCTGTTCTCACTTCACGTGGCACTGTATTCTTCTACGAATTTGGCCCATTTTCAATACCGACCTGCGTGCAAGAACCTAAACTAAATTACTAAATCGAACTATTAAAGACTAAATTTAAAGTTGACAACTTCATTTTTGCGGCCAGGGGAATGTTTACAATAGGCGCTACACAGATGGACATGCTTAAATTGATTCAGAAGTTGAACCTGACCGAGAATAAAAATACTTCTCTAAAGCTTCTGAAGATATACTTTGCGGAGTTCCTAAAGCGTCTTTCCGGGCTTTGCAAATGTTTTGACAAAATAAATATACCCCTCATCCATGGATGATGAATATAAAAAGACCCACGCCAAGAAGATTTATCTCTTATTTTGGTCGCTAAAATCATCCGATAAAACATAATTTCTTCCTTTGAGTTTCCTTAAGGTTTCTTAACCAAAAACCGTTAACCATTCGAAGCATTCGAAAAAAACGTGTCGTCTTGAATTTGGCTGCATTTTTTCGCCATAATGGCGAAATGGTGTAGAAAATTTCGTAACTAAAGCACAAGGATGAGGCATTCTTTTGTCCCACACATTACATTATGAAAACAATGGCTTTATTGACTACATTTCAAAAAAATTGCAGCTTATTTTGCTAATTTATATTTTACAGTTGCAGATTTTCTAATGAAACATATATGAAACCGATATTTGTATATAAAAAATTGAAACCGATAAATATAATATTTTCTCTCTTAAATTTTGCAGTGTTCGCGTAAGTATTTGTATTGGTTGAAAGGAACTTTCAAATGTTCAATATTCATAACTCAGTTCAGTTCCTTACTGCTATTAGAGAAGAATATACATAAAGAATTTTGTCTATTTTTCGTTTCATGAACTGATCTATACAAACTATATCCAATCTAAACGTATCAGTAAGTTGTTGACTAATTGGCATATGTTTTAAAAGATTTTTAATAGAATGGAATGGATCTTTTGATAGAAGTGTCAAAATTTCAATTATGTTTTGACTGAACTGAAGCTGTACCAGAGAACGATAAAAATTATTAATTAAGGATCCTTTTTAGGAACTTGACATTTTTACGAACTATTGGATTTTGAGAGGAGTGAAAGAATTTAAAATCTATAATATATACCCAAGTCTCTTTTTACACGGAAGTTCGCAAGCAAAAAAATCGTGCACACAAACCCATATAGTAAAATCGGAAATATATTCTGCAACTTTAAAAAATCGTGCGAGATTAGAAAACTTTAAATATTTTTCCAAAAATCGTGCAAAAAAAGCATTAATCCATATTAGAAGTACACGCTGAAAGTTCAGTCGATAAGTACGACATGTAAACATTTGAATTGAAATGAGAAATAAAAGTGAATTTCGCAACTGTTCATCGTAACTTGATAACAAGCGTACATATATTTTTTTGGACTGGACCATCAAAAAATGAACATCATATTATATCCCACGAATTTCAACTTCTAACAAAAAATAATTAGTGAATAGCAAAATTCTGAGTTCAAGATATGAGATAATCATAAAATGTAGGTATTCCCCGTAGTAGACCAAGCTACTAACAAAATCAAAATTAGAATGAAAACAAACTTTTTCTGGGGATACGTGCTAGAACAAGAAATTTCTGTAAAGAAGTGTAATTCTTATTGGTAAACAGTGTTATTTCAAAATCAACTAAAAAAAATACCGTGTAAAAAAAGATTTTGTTGCTTGTGGTTACGACCGTACCAAAAGAAATGGCTCTCACTTCTTAAAAGAAAATTCTATGAAGGAAATGACAAATCGTGAACATGCCCTTTTACACGCTTCAAAATCTTTCCTTATGATAATTGTATTAACCCGTCCTTCTGTGGCATAGATATAAAAATGATTGCTTTGTAAATATTCAATCTTTTTTTTTTATTTTTCATCAAAATACTGAAAACCCAAAAGCAAAATTTTTGATGGTAGTTTTGTTAAACAAAAAAACAATCGATTAGAAGACTTGATTGACTGTAGTTACGATTTTTATCTTATTGTATATTATTAAGGAAAAGTTTCGAAAAAGTAACAATTACAGTTTGTTTTTGTTTGTAGTTTTTTTTTTTTTCTTTTTAAATAAATGCTGCAATGATGAACAATTAAAGTATTGTTTATAAAAAATTACCGATAAACTGATCTTAAAACCTTTTGATTTTTAGGTAAAAAGATTAATGATTAAGCGATAATTTTTAGGCCTAATTATGAAATAATTTACTATTTAATATGGGCTTTGTATGGACTTAAAAACTAAATAAAGGCATTCTTGTTAGCTTTTTAATAATTAATTTCTTAAATTTTATAATAAGTTATATATTTAGAATTTTTAATTTTTACTTTTATCGATAATGACTTTATGCTTAAATTTGAACAATTTTTCTACCTTTGTGTGTAACCTATTAAGAGAAACGGAGAGATAGAGCGTGGGAGTGGGGGTAAGAGTCTCCGGCGCACTTTTTCAAAAAAAAAAAAAACTAACTATTATTTTTTTTGATTAAAATCAGTACTCAATGGGATTGGGATCAAGCGGTTTACGTGAATACTTTAAACCCAAATTATCGCTAATTTCATCGATTACACTTAAAGCGTAATCTAATTGTTCTTTGGTATGAGCCGCCGATAAACAATAGCGTATACGTCCTTCCATAATCGGTGTAGCCGGAAAACCAACACCTACAACAGCTATATGGCGTGTGGTTAATGTGCGCACAACAGCTCTTCACGAAAAAAAAAATAAAAAAAAAATAAAACGAAAAATTTATAAATAAATATTTTTGAAATATTTCAAGGAATTATTCTACTTTACCCAATTTTAGAGAAAAGATATACTAGCATAGGTACCACCGGGGAGTCTTCATGGCCGTATGTTATTACTCCCATTTGTGCTAAACGTTTACGGAAATATCGCGTATTACGAGCCAGTTGCCGAATTTTTCGTCTACCCGTATCACTGCCATCCAAACCCATAATAATACGCATAGAAGTAAAAATCTGTTGCGCCACAGGCGGCGACATAGTAGCCGCATAACAATGTGCGTGACTATTTGTGCGTAAGAAATCAATAAGTTTCTGTAAAGTGAAAGGAATGAAATCGTTAGTGTTAAAGTTTATATTAGGAAATGACTTCACCTACTTTTGTACCGGCTATATAGCCCCCGGCACTACCAAAACTTTTGGTAAAAGTACCCATAAGTATGTCAACATCTTTGGCATTTGCCTTGAAATAATCGGTAGCACCACGACCATTAGGGCCCATAGCCCCAATACTATGAGCCTCATCCAAGTACAAATAAGCCTTGTATTTCTTTTTCAAGGCTATTATTTCGGGTAAACGTACAATCGAACCTTCCATACTGAAAACGCCTTCTACTATAATCAGTATCTTTTTCCACGGTTTTCCGCCCATTTTAGGATTACCGTTAACTATATTGGAACGCAACACACGTTCCAAATCTTTCATGTTATTATGTTTGAATACTTTAGTGGTAGCCCCCGATAAGCGTAATCCCAATATAATTGAAGCATGATTTTTCTCATCGCTTAATACCAAACATCCCGGTGACAGCAGTGAGGGTAAGTTTAAGGAGTTAGTGGCAAAGCCCATGCCAAAAACTATCGCATCTTCTACACCTAAATAACGTGCTGTCAATTCCTCCAAATCTTTATGCAACGTTGTAGTACCCAACTCAGTACGCGAACTACATAGAGCTAAACCCATATCGTGACAATTTTTTTCAGCAGCGTCTGCGCAAGGTCCTGTAGCCGCAGCAAAACCCAAATAGTTGTAAGAACCTAAGTTCAGACAACGCGTTTCAGTGCCTGTAAATTCGAAACTCCAGCCGTAATCATGGGTAACACGATCCTTCAATGTCAACTCTGCCCCTGGTACGCTGGATATTGGACGATTCCAACAATCCCTCACCCGCCGATATACATAGCGAGAATAAAAACTTTCGAAAGCATCATACAAAGCCACATAACCATCGCGATATTTCTCTTTAGCAACTTTAGGCACAAAGAGCAATTGATTGATATAACCCAGAATCATGAGCAAATAAAAGCCTAAGTAAGTAAGGCAGGCGGTATGTAGGGGAACCTCCTCGAAAGAAGTTTTCTGAAAATGCTCCTCGGCAGGGGACAGCTTACCATCGGCAACGGATAACCTACCCGGTGAATCATATTCATGGCTCGTCGTAATCCCGTTACTGACGTGAAGGTTTTTGGAAGTGTTCTACAAAAAAAACATAAATAAATAAATAAATAAAGAAAAAATGTTATAATTAATAATAATTAACATTGTATTGATTTGTATTGATTAAATCTATGCGACATATGGTAAGTAGCAAACGGTAACCACAACTGAAGGTGAACAAACCTCGCAATAAAGGTTTTTATTTACATCAATATTATGTATAAACATATATAAAACAAAATTTGCCGCATTACTGCTACAATTTACATTACATATGAAAATTTCGAATATACGATAATCTACTAAAACTGGTTAACGAAATGCATTACAAACATTTAGTTTAACTGAAATTTATTTTATATATATATATATATTTTTTTTTTATGAACACCTTGAGCTTTTCACATTCGTTTTCAGAAATTAACGTAAAGCTATTAAATGTTTCCAGAGTAACTAATTGTTGTACGTTATATTTTGTATATAAATATCATAAAATTTCAAGTTTCGATTATAAAGGATACAAATAAAAAAAATTTATTCCTTTTTTAATGCGAAAATTAAGCTGCAGAAAGGTCCGACATAAGACCGTAAAGGTAAAAATTTGAGAAAAATTGCTCATATTATTATTATTATGATTAATTAATTTAACCAGAGAAATAAATTCTAAGATTAAAATCTTAAAGACTGTCGGCTTAAAAATTGTTCATAAGACTATCTATCAAGTAGAGAGATTTTTTTAGTTGTAATATAAAATTTATATTTTATTGCAAGATACGGCCGAAATTCTCAAACATACGATATAGCATGCGATATATGAGCTGCAATATTGAAAATCATATTATTATGTAATTTGGCAGCATTTCATACGTAATCTAAGAAAAAGAAAATCATATTTAAGATGTGCGTTTAAATTTTAAATAAATCGTTCTCCCTTTTTGTGAATGGCTGATAAGACCTATCTATCATTTGAGCTTATTTTTTAACACAACAGTGTAATTAAAAAAAAAAAAAATTAAAAAAAGAGGAAAAATTTATTTATTTTTTTTATTAATTCAGGCGAGCCTATGTATAATAACAACAAAAACGATACTCCGCTCTAGTTGAATTTGTTGATAAGAAAAAAATTTAAATTATCTTCATATCTATAATTTCAAATTTTCAATGAGCAACCCCAGTCACATCAATTCCGAAATTCATTAACAGTAAATTTATAAGCAAGTGATCTGATAGATCTGAAATTTTTATAGGCATTTTGAAGTTCACACAGAGAAAAAAAAGTGTGAAAAAAAAAAAAAAAAAATTTTTTTTACAAAAAGAAGAGTTGAGCTGGAATTTAAAAATAAAAATGATAATTTTGCAAAGTAAATAATTATAAGTTGCTAAGTGTGTGCACATTAGAGAGTCAAAAACACTTTTAATTAAAAGTTTAATTTAAAAAAAGCAGTCATAAGTGAAAGTTAAATCATTCATTCATTCGCATTCCGGCGATATGAAACATAATAAATTAACTTAACTTTTTGAATATAAATTGTTTATTTACTTATGTGAAGGCAGGCAAATAATTTCTGCGAATTGTATCAGTAAAAGCGCAAAATTTTTGTTATTAATATAAATAGAGAATTGTAAATTATTTCACAAATAAGTGGAAGCACTATAGTGGGCTAGAACACCACCGTTAAATGCGCTACATCATTTCGCCTAATACAATCATTCATATAATCACTTCTTAAAGTAAAGTGTATTATAGGAGATAGTGAAGAATGTGGTCCGATCCGTATCATTTTCCGTTCGTCCTTGGGCCAAAACGCGATTGAGTACTAAATTCGTCAAAAATTTGCGACCTATAGATTCAACACAAAAAAACAAGGCAGACAGATGGACAGACATGCTTAGATCGATTCGGAAACTGATTCTGAGTTCATCGGTATAAGAAAAGAAAACAAGACGAACGCACGGACAGACAAGCTAAAATTCGATCGGTATAATAAATGCTGGATTTATCCGATGTCCATCTGGGCGTCGCATACATCCTGCACAAATTTAATACACCCTTGAATACCAAGTGGTGTAGGGCACATGCTTCATATGTATGAATCATTGCAAATACATCTCCTTTTATTTTTAGACGCAAAAATAAATTAATGAGCCATACGGGCAACGAAATGAACTTCAAATACCAATTCCGTAAATGGTAAATAATTGAAAATCACTTAAAGTTCGTTAATTTATTCCTAATAATTTTTCTAACTTTCAATAGGTTCATGTGAATTTCGCTTTACGGTTACTTTTGGGGTAAATTCAGTCACATTTATTATCGCATATATTTTTGTTGATTGCGAGTGAGTCAATCAAACAATCGGAAAGCACAATTACATTTCAATTGACTTTTGCTATATCTAACACGTAAATTATTGATAATAAAATTGACTTTTTTAATTTCTTTCTCAGTTTTTAGATATGTATTCAAAACGCGATTGGGATCCAATTGCGTTTAATTTCATCAAGTGATATGAGAGTACATGTATGTGGGATTGTCAGTAAGATCACGCGATATAAACCTATTGGAATTTTCTCTTTAGAGCTATGTTGGACCATTGGCTTATTCCCTAATGAACCGTGAACTATCAATGACCTTATCGGTCAATCAATTCGTGTTATTGATGCAATAAGAATAGATTTATATCGAAAGGCTGGTGTTGCAGGCTCCTTTTTTTACAGAACTCCAAAGTCGGTCATTTGCATAAACTAATATCTAAAATAAACGAAAATTTATATTGATTGATATCTTTCATGGTTTAGTTTTTATAAAAATTAGCAAATTATAGAAAACACTTATTTGATGATTTTACACATTTCTCTTCATTAAAATTGTTGGAATAATTTCATTATTCCTTTGCTGCTCTCTTATAAATTGAAGTTAAAAATAAAGCAATAAAAATGAAAAAAAATGAAATCGGAGTCAATAATAAGTACAATAAAATAAGTACAATAATAAAGATAAACATCTTGTGAAAACCATGTACAGTTTTTCACCTCCAAGAAGTCACCGAAAACGAAGCCTGAATCAGTTGAAATTTAAGAGACCAAAATATAGTATTAATACACAGAGAAGATGATAAAAAAAAAATTGTTCGAAACAAACTCTTTTGACCGATAATTTATTTGAGAAATAAAGCTTTGCTAAGCGTTATCATATCTATATTATGTCGTGCCTGTTTGATATGACATGTTAATATAAATTGCGCCGTTTGATAAAAAAAAAAAGTTTGTATGAAAAGTACCAATCAGATCTGCAAACACCGCAAATTTCTTGATATTCAGGAATTACCAAGAAAAAATCGCTATTTTGCTTATAAAACCCCTATTATAATTAATTGTCAGTAAGTCTTCAGTCCACGCATTGTCAAAAATTCCTTCCGCACATTGAGGCAATTAATTGAGTTAAGCTATCTGTACTCTATGGTGCGCGCGATGAGTAATTTCTAATTGATACGAACCGCATGATTGAATAAACGTAATCTAATCATCTGTTGATTGAAAATTATAAAATTATGTCATAAATTTTCAATAACGTAACATAAATAAAAACGGTTTAGTTTATTACTAATGTTATTCATTGCGTGAGATTTCGTTGAATTATTGCATGCCTTCGAAAATTGATCTTTCATAAACATGCAGTTTATTTACATAAAAATGAACGAACCAGACAAAATTTGATTTGCTTTCACAATTTGAGATAGACAGACATTTGGCCACCTTAACAAGAACAAAAAAAAAAGGAGAATTAAGCAAAAGGAGACGAGTAGCGCAAAATGCTCTGCTGTAGTGCAAATAGTGCAGAGTTTCGTTTTAAATGTCATGACACATTTCCAAGGAACATAAAAAGAACATACGCACACATTGGAAGCGGTGTCAAGATATTACAAAAAAAAAAAAAAAAAAGAGAAAGAAGAGCAAAAGTGTTTGTAAATAAAATCATGCATAAAAGAAGCTTACAATTTCGAATAATTAATCATATAACTATTAAATCATATTTTGCACGAAATGTTTTACTTTCCAGAACACGCCTAGCTTTTATTTGCCTAAGTTAACCATAAAGATCATATCGCACCATAACAGCCCTTAAGTATCTAGCTAGCGATAAACACTTTTCATCACTGCAATTATCTAAAGCTTTTTTTATTTATCGCTGAAATAGCACAAATATTATTTTTACTTATCCCACGCAAAACATGACACAATTATTAATTTTCAGTTAAATTTTTTTTTTTTATGGGATTTTCTTGGAGCCTTTTTACCTTGAAGCTGTTGCTATTCATGGCCATTATGTTAGCCTTGAGACCATTTTTTCGTGTACGTATCTCTGTATAAGCCGGTGCAGCAAATTTTTTTTGATGCTGTTCCAAATCATATCTGTTTTGTTCTATTACTTCGGCTGTGTTGCCAAAATTACTGGAGCAGTCTGGCGTTGATGTTATACCGCTATCGTCAAGATTTCCCATGCTTTTTTTTTTATAACATATGCACGGCGATTATTTCTAAAATAATCCTAAGCATAAATCCACACAAGAAAGTTCTTTTTCAAATTGCAGCATATAAAAAAAAAAAAACAAAAAAAAAGTCGTCCGTTCTTTTTAACCGTTAGAATATGTACTGAAGTGACGACAACAACACCAAACTGACTGAATTATTTTATATTTTTAATAAATGCTTTAATTTTCCAATCTGATTAATTAGAAGAATGTGGCCACTTAGCATTGGGATGCCATATCGAATTCCTAATATCTTCGTAAGAGATGATAAAATGTCAAGAATTTTTGATGACTTTTTGCATGTTTGTTGTTTTTTTAATAATAGGCGCATGGAATTACTCGATATTTAAATTTGATATTTAAGTAATAAATAGTAACGAAATATCATTCATTCCTCTTAGATGTCATTAAGAAAATTAAAAACAATAAATATAAATAGAATAGTTACCTGCCATTTTTCTTTAGTATATGTAAGAATATTAATGCAAAGGTAATGAATATATCGACTCATTAAAGTTGTAGGTAAATACATTTATAAATATTCAATCTACGCAGAAAGTATAGCAATTTCTTATTTTTAGAAGTCCAAAAGCAATAAGATATATTAAAAATGTATTCAATTTTTTATAGTTACGACAACTATAGATAATGACTATCATTAAAATTTACTCTCAAAAAAAAAAAAATAAGAATTCCATTCAATTTAATAACTTCATCAAAAAAAGAAAAATAAAATGTTGGTCACATTTTATTTGCGCAATGCTTAAAAATCCGTAATTAGTTTTCAGATAATTGAAATAAATAATGGCAACGCTAACGCATTATTGTTTTTTTTCAATTTCAATTTGTTTTTGTTTTACAGATGTGTATTTCCTGAGAGCAAAATTCTATTTGCGAGAGTAAAATTTACTTTGCTGTACATTCCTATGAAAGATGTTTTCCATTCTTCTGAGAGCAAATTTTGGATTTCTTCATATATTTTTTGCAAACAAATTTTTTTTATATATTTTAAATAAAATTTTTTAAAAATTGACGCATTAAATCAAAGATAAAAAACTACCTTAATTACCTACTCTACGTATTCAATTATATAAATCTCAATTAATAGAATTAATAAGTAAAGTAAATATACATAAATGAATAGGTGCTAAAAATACTGAAATCTCTTATATAGAAATATGGACTTATTAAAAAAGCAAATAAAGTTACATTAGGAATAAAATAACCGATCAAGTCTTCAATAATCAAACGAATAAAGTAAATAATTTTAAGTTTTTAAGTATAAAGGAATAGTAGTATTCTAGGGCCAGTAAAAAATAAGCAATTTACTCTTGTAAATAATACTTCTATTATTCTTTTTAATGTTTTCAATATTACCCAGCCTAACTGTCTTAAAAAATATTTTCTTTTAAATCAAATTCATAATTTGCTAATCCTAAAATTAATAATAAAAAATTACCTCATTTCTTGAATATAATTAAATTATATCTAATTAGTAAATAATCGAAAAATAATAGAATAATATAATATAACTAATTTAATCAAACTTCTAATTAACATTATAATAATATATTTTATTACATTTAAGTCCAATATATAACAATATATTTTATTGTATTTAAATAAAATATATAATTCCATTTTCCATTATTTAATATTTTCCAATTCGATTAGATAAAGCTGTTAATGAAATTAATATTCCAGATGTTCGAGCATTAAAAAGTTTAACATCTTAAAAGATTATTATTATTCAATTTATTCAACTAATGCTGAAACTACTGAAAATCAGTATATAAGAATTAATTTAATAAAACGATTACCTTTTTAATCTCCTATTATATATTCTTTCCTATAATAAATCACTAAAGAAAAAATTGTTAATACGAAATATATAAAAATTAAACTTATTGCCTATGCAAACTCTGTTCATTTACTTTGGTTGCTTATGCACACGCAACCTAAGAATTCTCGTAGAGTTTTTGCCTTTTGAAATGCAGTGAAATAAGTAGACCAGATTGCTGTTTTCTTAATTTGGGACGATATATATATAATTTACAAATAATTATTTTCTTCCATTCCCACAAGCAAACCATTTTAATATTGTTAGCATTGTAATTAATATTGTATTTGCCAAAAAAAAACCCGTAACATTTGGGATTAATTGCAAGAGTTCCGCGGAAATTTTGAATCTTTCTTTGATCTACCCCAAAAACGACAAAATTCAAAAGGCAAAAAGCAGCAAATGGAACAAAATTTTCGCTTTCAATTTTTATAACATTTTATAAACTAAAAAAAATGAGCGCCGTAGATTAATGTTAAAATTATATTATTCAAATTTTAAAAATTTGATGATAATAAATTTATAAAATAAAACTAAAGTAAGTCTAGGACATGTACGAAAGAAATTTGATATTTAAATGTTGTTTAGCCGAAAAAAAAATTTCAAGAGGGAAAAGATTTAATTTGCACTTTTTATGAAATTCCAAAATATAAAATAATTTATAAAAATAAAATTTTATTTGTTCAATCATATGTTTAGGAATCAGCTGCTGCAGATGTTATAAATACAGGTATGTCTTATGCGAAATGAGCGAATTAAAAAAATATGAGTCCAAACGAACGAAAGAGAGAAACGAAGAATCAAAAAAGTGCGACGAAAAAAATAATATCAATGTTTTCAATGTTTTATAAGAAACGAGAGCGGACACATTGTTTGAATCAGTTGGCTCAGTCAGTGGAAAAGTTTCCTTTCCTAACAAAGCACTTACTAGAGAAAAATAACTTATTAAAAAAATGTGTATTACAATCTGAAGCTTTGAAGTGGTGAAACCTGCAATCTTTTAAACGAGGCAACAGCGATCTCAAAAAAAAATTTAAAAAAAACATATATATTCTGAGAAAATAAAAATCGAACCCGCAAATATTGCTATATTTTTCAAAAAGTTTTCATGAACAAAAAAGCAAAAATTTTGTAAATGAGTATTAAACTTAGCTGTGTTTAAATCGATCTCCCGAACATATAATCTTACTTGTGATTAAAACAAAAATCAAGAGGCATTTGACAAGAAAGACTGGAAAAAAAATTGATGAATTTTGGCAGACATATATATATGAAAGGACTCCCTGAAAAACTAAGAAAATTGTAAAAAAAACCGATAGAAAAGCGTTCAAAGAAAAAGTTCTGAGAGAGCGAGTGTAAAGGAAAAAAGAGTGACAAAAGTGTGTAAGTGTGTGAAGAATAATCATCACCGAAAAAACAGGGTGTGCGTTTAAAAATTGAAAGCTTTTCGATATCCTCATCCTAACGTACATAACATATATTAATAGGAATTGAATCAAAGAAATGGATTTTAATTTAACGAATCCTACCAACAAACCTTCAGTAAGGTCCGACGATATTTTTACAAACACTGCAGAGGTGGGCAAGCAAACCAGTCAGGATTTATTGGGTGACATAATGGATAAATCTGGAACATTATATTCAGATATTGGTGATCAAAAAGATTCGGATTTTGAACATATCGATGCGCAAGCCTTTGTGCAACGTATGTCAGCCGGTGCAAAAGAGGCACAAGAGCAGCTAGATGCCAAGTTTTCTCAAGCGAAAAATGATTATGATGATTTTCTGGGTCAAAACACGCAAAAAATTAAACAAGGTGTGGCTTCTGCCACTAGTGATTTTATGAATGCTGAACGTGGCTTTGTGGGAGATATACTAACTAAGGCCGAGAAAAAAGCATCGGAAACCGCAGGGGACATATTAAATATTGCTAGCCATTTAGGCAGCGGAGATGCTAATTTTATAAATCAAGTTGCATCTGTTAATAGTACTACTCAAAATCTGATAGGTGATAACAATTTGACTTCCTCTGGTAAAACATCTTCCACCGTTACTGGCAACGCTAACGTTAATAAAAAAGATTCAGACACCGAGTCACCTTCTATTTCGCATAATCCTTCACCAGCTAAAAAATTACCTGTTACCGATGCTCTAAAAGAACAGGATAATGAAAAATTCATTTCTTCTGAAGATCTTCTAAGCGATTTTAAAGAAGATTCTCAGTTATCAGGGAAAACGAGCTCCCAAAAACAGACAGATGTTGTTAAGAATGTAATCGATTTAGATACTGATGATGATGATGATTTCGTTCAAGCTGAAATTCCAAAAATGTCGGAAGATTTGAGACCAGTAACTACTACTAAAATTGAACCATCGGTGCCAGCTAAACCAATTAAAACGGAAGTAGAACCGATTAAACCTAAACCAGCCGTTATAGAGAACAAGAAACCTCTGGGTCCTCACGCACCGATAGTCGCAACTAAACCAACCACCACCACCGTAACCGTTAAAAAGACTCTGAGCTCGCAACAACCTCAGATTATTTCAGTCGAAGATATATTCTACAAGTATGGTCTAGGTAAGCCAGAAATTGGATTATTTTATTGTTCAAAAACAAAAACGGTACATTTACTGGTTGGAATACAAATATTTTCAATAATATTATAGAAATGCTTAAATCCATAACATCTAAGAGAAAATTTATTGCAAATAATTAAGAAAGGGTAAGAACAGTTTTTCGAGTGGGGAATTATACCATCTTTTTGCAGGTAATGAAACTAATACGCCCTTCCTTTGCTTTGTCAATTCCGAGTAAGTTTTTTTCCAAGCAGCTAAGAAAGTTCTTAAATGAAAATGGATTGCAAACTTCGTTCATTAGTTCTAAGACTCTTTACGTCTAAGGATAGAAATGAAATGACTTTTTTATTCGACCGGAATCTCTATAAGGAAATAAAGATTGCCACTGCTCGACGGTGTTAGGCATTCAAAGAAGAAAAAGTTAGAACATATAACCAAAATGTAGCCTACATTGGTAGATAAAAAAAATAAATGTTTTTCAACATTTCATGTACACCAACAAATGCTCTGCAATGGATAAAAGTAGGTAGTAGGTATCCAAGGTGATATTCAAAACGAATAAAACTTTCTTGTTAAAGAATTTTTATAAAAAATATATCATCTCACTACAGCATTTTATAAAACGGAACGACTGATATTCAAAAAAAGAAAAAAAATTCAATCAGGTTTTATTCCTCAAACTTTTACACTCCCAATGCGCCCAATTACGATGTTTACGTTTACCAGCCAAATATTGGCAGTAGGTCTAGCTGTTTGTTACAAATCTGACGGATGATATATTTAGTTAGAAAACAGAGATTTTGAGCACATATTCTTACTTCATGACCACAGTACGGAACTAAGGAAACTATATATATATTAGACTATTAGGGTGATGGATATATAAAGTAATCCTTTGATGGTCAATTCACGCGTCGTTGAGCCACGGCAGCCGTTAACGAATAGCTGGGATGGTGAGAGATTATATTAGTTTCCCCTTTCATCTTTCTTTCTTACTATCCTGAAACTATAAAGTCTTCCCAAAAATGTTATGAAGACCATTTGAATTCTGCCAGTAAGTGTATATTGTTTTTAAATTTATTTTATTTCATTTTGTTAATTTGTTTGCATTTAAAATGTGTTATTTTTATTTATATAAATTGTTTCATTTTATTTAAAATTTTTAGAAATTTAATTTACGAACGCGAACGAATCACATCATTTTCTAAATTTTGTTTACTTTTAATTAACTGTAAAATGTGCTTTGTCGTATTCAATTGTGAATGTATGTATGCGATTGTAATTTTCAACTGTTAAACCGACAGCAGCGAAACACCCTTCTTGTTGTGTGCGTCGATAGTTTGTATATGTTGGTTTGTTTGTGTTTCGTTTATGCGGTTGATATTTGTCTCCGATGCGAAAGAGACACAATTGTTGTATTCATTTTGAAAGGGTAAATAATTTAAGGTGGACACTTACTGTTTATTATTAATGTCGCTGTTGCACTTGCGACGACAAAACTTCAAAGTCACTTTCGAAATACTTTTATCATTTATTACATGTCAGGAGAGAAAGCTTTCTTTCCATTTTACATTTATTTATTTATTTATTTATTTTTTTTACCTTCATTTATCAACATGGGCCTATAAAGTGTATATATGTATATAAGAATAAGTCCACTTATATATATGTAGCGTATATATATACATATTCCGTACAACCCTCGTTGTCGTGTTACCCCGCACTCCACCCAAGCCGTAACAATGAATCATATATTTTTTGTGTACGGAAAATTATTTTATACCAGTAATATGATGTCATATCGAATAAGCGTACAAAAAACAAGTCATTTCAATTGTATTATGTATGATTAACTTAACGCACACGAGCTGGATAGAAATATTTCAAAATTTAACGCAATTCAGATTTTAGATATCAGAAAATCATCGTTTCATCATGATTGTTATTGAAAGTTAATTTAATTCTATAGTTTAAAGGACAGTGGGCCGATAGCGTAGGGTATCTTAAAAGACATTAGGTCGACAGCACAATACATCTAAAGGGATAGTTGGTCGATAACAAAGCAAATGTCGGTAGTCCGTGAAATCATAGACAACAGAATGTGATTTCAGAAGCTTGAACGAAGTAAATTACGGCAGCAGAGTATAATAAGTAGAAACAAATCTTGCTTTCTGTCTTAGGAGAAAAATTTGATTGACTTTCGAGCGATTAATATCAGCTGCGGTAAGCTTGTGATGAAACTATAGTATGACACTTATGTCGTGTCTTTTGTCAAGGTAACAGAAAGATTTGAGAGAATTCTATCTTTTCTAATGCCGATCGATTCGCAAACACTTGAATTAGGCATGTCTGTCCGTCTCTTCTTTTTGCTTTTTTGCGGTCAGGCTACAGTCCACAAACTTTTGAGATAATTTGATGGAATCCGATGCACTGAAATGTTTTGACCCAAAGACGGACTCTATTGAAAACGAGTCGGGTCCGACTACTTCATCGATCATTCTCTTTGTAATGCCTTATTTGGAAAAGTCGTTATATCAATAACTGTAGATTGTGGTAGCGTACTTAATAATGGGTTATGGCTCCATAGGTGAACGTAGTCTAATTCTTTCAATTATAAAGATCTAAACACTTCTGATTATATCTTATGTAATTGTAAATATTAATTGATTCTCAAAAACCCATCGATATCTCTCGTACCCGGCACAAGAGGATCGGATTATTGATAGCGAACCTCGATAATCGTAACGTTTATAAAAAGTCTTTTTCTCTTTTTTCCGCATTCTTTAATAATTTCGAATGATTCTTGAGTGAATTTATTGTTGTTCTGCAGATTGTAATATTGAAGAACTGAAAAGAGTAAACCATCAGCAAAGTAATTTGAGAATAAGAAATATTTTATTAACTTTTTTTTGCCGATTACATAATTTTGCAACTGTGTCGACAACGATAGAAGAGAAAAGTTCGATGCCAGTCTTCTTTCTGATATAATTTTGAGATTATAATTTTAAAAGCAGTTAAATGGAATGGCTCTTCACCGCAGAAAAACAACTATATAGACTTTATTGAAACGCGGCTCATCATTAAGTATACTAAACTATTTCACTTAATGTTGTTATTCACATAACGATCTTCGCAAAAAAATGCAAAATGTTGGGAAATGTTCCGATCGAAACCACGTTCGCCCATTAGCCAAACGACGGCGTTATACCAAATTTGATCAAAATATCTTAAAAATTGCCGGTTGAAGGTTCAGCATACGAATACAAAGCAGATATGCGGACGAAGAAGCTTAGAAAAAAAGAATCACTTTCTGAATCGATCGATATTATAAAAGGAAGTTATGTTAAATTTGATCAATATATCTGAAAAATTACCGGTTGAAAGTTCAACATAAAAACACAAGGCAGACATACGGACGGACAAGCATAGAAAAAAAGGAATCACTTTCTGAATCGATCGATATGAGGAAAGGTAAGTATGACGCACACCCGCATAAGCCTAATGTACCCTTGTGTGCCGTAAGTGGTCCCAAAAAAAAAGTGCCTTCAATACCATTTGCTTTTAAAACAATTTTTGGAAAATACCCTGGAATACTTAGTAGGTTTAAGGATCGGATTAAGGATTTTCAAAAAAAAAAAATTTTTTTAATGTTAGTTTCCGTGAAGAATAATTTGCGAGCTACAACCAACCAAAGCAGTACAAGATAACCGTCATTCATTGCATCCGTTTTGTTTTTAATTAATCTCATATAACATTGATTCAAAAAGTCTATCAAAAGTTGTTTTTTTACATTGCACCGTAATTTGAAAAAAGAACACCACAGCATTGTACGTATCTTAGCAGAGAGTGAGATAGATATCGAACTGTAAAGCTTAACCGAGTATACCACATTGTACATGTGGTCTGCTTAACGGAATATGTCGAAGCCAATATTCGCAACAATTCTTTAATGATTCATAAATTTATTTAAAGAAATGTACGGATTGAAAATTCTTTTAAATTATATATTTTTAGACGATATTGTAATCTTATTTAGTTATCCATAATGCAATCAGGTTTCTTTTGTTTGCATTTTTCATTAAATTTTGCTGGTATTGCATATAAAAGTACTTTGGAATTGAGTTCAATTAACTTTACTTTCTTTTAATCAAAAACATTGATTGCAAAATTTGTTTTATCTTTTCATTTCAATTTGCTCACATATATACAATGCATAAACAACATCTAATCGCTTTTGACTAAATGATAAAAACTCAACATTCACCGCTTTGTTGCACTAAAGGGCAACAGAGAACAATACCTTATCTTAAGCAGGCCATCACTTTTCCTGCATTCATTATTGCAATATAAAAGTATGGCGACTTCCTAACGTGAGAGTTAGTCATGTCCGTCTGTCCATTCATTTGCTTGCCTATTGTCTGCTGTGTTGAAACATAAGAGAATTTTGAAAAATTATTAAAGAAAGCTGTTGTCTAAATATGTAAATAATTTTTCAGGTCATATTCATGGATAGGGGCTGACGCTTTCGAAACTCGCTCCCGCTTTATTGAGATCGATTAAAAAAATAGTGAAATTTTCACTTTCTGTATGTCAAGAATTTCTTATAGATTTGATTTGATGGAATTTTGCAAAAACTTCACCCATGGGGCCAACAAATCGATCATAAGTACCCGCAATCCATTTCGTTAGATTGGATTATGTGCTTTAAAGTATATGGCGAGACAGTTAGTTTCTTATGCCAATACTTATAATTATCAATTCAGTGACGAGGGTAGACTGTGTCATATTTAGCCAAAGTAAATGACAGGAAATGAAAACTCGTCCTATATCACTCTACATATGTTGTGTATATTCTATAACTCTAGTAACCATATATAAAGTTTTTGCGGGAAGTATGCAACTTCTAAAATGATTTGGAGTAGACCCATCTTTTATTATATCGACCTATTCGGGATCATTTTCCGAATCTATGTAAACCCGTTGATCAGTCAAATTGTATGG